TTTTTTTTAAGAGATGAGGTCTTGTCATGTTGGCCAGGCTGGTCTCAAACTCCTGGACTCAAAAGATCCTCCTGTCTTGGCCTCTCAAAGTGCTGGGAGTACAGGCATGGGTCACTGTGCCTGGCCATGGATATGTTAAATTGCTTACTATAGTAATCATTTCACTATGGATATGTATATCAAATCATCTTACCTCTTAAATTTATACGATGATATAGCTGGGCATAGTGGCACGTGCCTGTAGTCCCAGCTACTTGGGAGGCTGAAGTGGGAGGATCACTTGAGCCCAGGAGCTCTGGGCTGTAGTGCGCTATGCTGATCGGGTGTCCGCACTAAGTTCAGCATCAATATGGTGACCTCCCAGGAGCTGGGGATCACCAGGTTGCCTAAGGAGGGGTGAACTGGCCCAGGTCAGAAACAGAGCAGGTCAAAACTCCCGTGCTGATCAGTAGTGGGATCGCACCTGTGAATAGCCACTGCACTCCAGCCTGGGCAACATAGCGAGATCCTGTCTCTAAAAAAAAAAAAATATGATGATATAAAAAAGAATCAGGCAGGGTATGACTACGGTGCAGCAAGACTAATTTATGCTAATTTATGTCTCTCCTTAGGTCAGTTTCCTTGAAATTGATCTAAAAACTAAGATTTCCCTAATAGTTCTCAAAAAAAAATCAATTATTCTCCGGCAAGCAATTTACAAAAGTGCCTGTCCCATCAGAGCCCTGCCAACAATCGGTGTTAATATTTAAAAAATGTCTTCACTAGCAGGATCCTGTGTATGAATCTTTATTTAAAAATTATTTATTGGCCGGGGGCAGTGGCTCACGCCTATAATCCCAGCACTTTGGGAGGCTGAGGCGGGTGGATCACCTGAGCTCGGGAGTTCAAGACCAGACTGACCAACATGGAGAAACCCTGTCTCTACTAAAAATACAAAATTAGCCGGGCATGGTGGCGCGCACCTGTCATCCCAGGTACCTGGGAGGCTGAGACAGCAGAATGGCTTGAACCTGGGGGGCAGAGGTTGCAGTGAGCTGGGATCACGCCATTGCACAGCCATGGAGTCTCGCTCTGTCGCCCAGGCTGGAGTGCAGTGGCACGACCTCGGCTCTCTGCAACCTCCGCCTCCCAGGTTCAAGCCATTGTCCTGCCTCAGCCTTCCAAGTAGCTGGGATGACAGGCATCCACCACCATGCCCGGCTAATTTTTGTATTTTTAGTAGAGACAAGCTTTCACCATGTTGACCAGGCTGGTCTCGAACTCCTGACCTCAGGTGGTCCACCTGCCTCGGCTTCTCAAAGTGCTGGGATTACAGGCATGAGCCACCACGCCCGGCCTTATTTTTGTTTTTAGAGACAAGGTCTCCCTCTGTCTCCTAGACTGGAGCGCATGGTGCGACTAGGGCTCACTTCAGCCTTGACCTCCTAGGCTCACGTGGTCCTCCCACCTCAGTCTCCTGAGTAGCTGGAACTAGTCATCAAGCACCAGGCCAAGCTAATTTCTATGTAGACATTGAGGGGGAGAGGGGTCTCGCTATGTTGCCCAGGCTGGTCTCGAACTCCTGGGCTCAAGCAAACTTCCTGCCTTGGCCTCCCAAAATACTGGAATTACAGAGTGAGCCACCGTGTGTGGCTTGGGTATAAATCCTGAGTTTTTGAATCATAGAATTCCAGGCTTAGCTGGGACCCGCCGGGTGTCCCCCAGTTCATATTTAGGGACTCAGTTGCTTACCCTGGGCTGGGTGGATTTTCAGGGCCATTAATTCACATATGTGTGGGCTGCCAGTCGCCAATCCCCACCTCTGCTTCTAGTTAGATACGAGCCTCCTCTGGGCGACATCAGGGTGTCCAAGTCGGCCAGGCAGCTGCGCCTGGAGTGGGAGACCCCGGCCAAGCAGGTTCGTGCCGAGGTGCAGTTCCGGCACCGGACACACAGCAGCCCGTGGAAGTTGGTGAGTTTGTTTCCCAAGTCCATGGTGGGCACGGGCGTCTCCAGGGCACCTGCATCCCCAGATCAGTCTCACTATCTCTGCGTCTGTCTCTCCTCCCAACCAGCCCCCACGCTAGCCCCTGAGGTTTTTTTTTTTTTTCCTAGATGGAG